GGAAAAAAGCAGAAACCTTTAGAGAGAAACTGAAAATCTTTAAAGAAAAACATACCCTATTACTACTTGAACTACTTTCAGGGGGGAAAAATACTGGATCCCAAAGAGCTCAGTTTAGCTGAGCAAATATAAAACACGCCAATGGCTGAAAGTTGAAGTCAGACATATTCACCGTAGAAATAAGGCACAGAATAATAATTTACTAAACAAGCTGCTATCTCTTCTAGGGAGCCTCCGCACAAGCAGTATGAGTGAAGCTCAAAGTTGTGTTTAGAAGCAACTGGAAGGGGTGCAGATATTCCCAGAGTTACCCCTTAGCACCTTCTGGCCTTAATGATCCAGCCTATGAAATGGCTAAATCGTATTAATTCCTATGATAAAGACCCTTGGAGGAGACAACATTAGTGTACTTTGTTAGCGAAGTACCGTTGCACAAGAACACTGTTAAGTCAGAAATTTGAAGTTTTCAGCGTCTTTTACTCTTTAGCCTTGTGATTTTTCCAAATAGCCAGACTTTAAAAAAAAAAAAAAACACAAACAAAAACAAACCTTTAAACACTCAAATAGCCAGTTACCATCTGCACAGTGAACCAATTCTGTATTTTATTACCTTCAGGCACTCCTTTGGGAAGCCAGAACGCTTCTGTGTTAACTGGAATTTGGTGAAGCCTGGAGTGCCTCTGGCATGGTGAAGTTCTGACAATGGAGCAGATTTCTTGCCTGCTACACAGAGGCTGAAAAGATTAATGATATTTTATTCATACAACTATTTCCATTGAAGAAATATTCTTCTATCTTTCTTCTAGGGAAATTAGACATGACATGCAGATTTCAAGGGATGGCATTAGAAAACATTTAAGACTACTTGTGTACACTTAATATGCTATCGGAAAGGGTGATAGAAAGCTGCAAAGCTTAAACATTCTCTTCAGCTGTTTGTAATACTGTTAGGTTTAGATATATAGTACATTACATACTAGCATGCCAAAACTGGATTTAAAGAGTGCAATAAAATTAGAACATTAAAAATATTATTTTCTTCTGGACTTAGAGGAATACTTTCTTTTTCTGAGCTCAGAGATGCAGGAACAATTTCTTCTGAATTTACATACAGACCTCTGGTGTTCAGGAATAGGTCTTCCCCAGGTGAGGCTTTGCACACTGGTGACAAGCTAAGCTACAGCTCCGTCAAAATACAAAACATACAGCATAACCGCCCAATTAAGTAATAGATAACAATTCAAATTGGCCAACTCCTGTTGGCTCACACAGAAGATGTTCTATTGCTTCAAAAATATGATTTAGGACTCCAGTGATTCCTGTCTCCAGCCTCCAACAAGACCCTGATGTTTTCTATTAATCTAGTATCCATAAACTCAAGTATGCTTGTAACAACACTAGGAAAGCCCAGTATGTTTTCCTGCGAAATAATGTGGTGCAAAATTAAGCAGTCTTTCTACTGTAACAGTTTCCCTTTTTCTCAAAAATTTTACAGTTTGCCAATTCAGTTGGGAGCTATGGCATGAAATCAACAGACATCACTTCTATTCCTCCAGAGAGAAGTGGTAGTACTGTACTGCCTTTACTGATAAAGAAATCAAACTGGCATTTAAATATCAAGTTTATTTGTATCGAAGGGGTAACACAAGTAAGGCTACTAGGTGCTGTTTTTACATTAGAAGATGTTGTAAAAAATAGAAAACAGATACCTAGGTTTTTTGTTGTAGTTTAACTGTCTAGCTAATAGAATTTAACAAGTAGTTTGTTGTGCAATTTGTATTGTAGCCTGAGGATAGCCAGAATTGGACTGTGCCATGAAGAATGATTTATTTGGTTTTAGACAAAATCTAGCTCTGCAGGCTGAGAATAACCAAGATTTTTTAGGGCTTTCTTTTCCTCTATGATCAGCATGGTGGAACTCATTTGCAAACAAAACTAGAGAAGAATTCAGTATCAGTTTCAAATTCTTTGCTGTTTCTTGTTAGTCCTACAGTATTCCCCTAGTACACAGTACTATTTATAAGAACTCTATTTAGAATTGCTAGTAGTTTTTCGGGTTTAAGTACTGAATTCCTGTCATCCACTGTTTTTTGGTCTTACAGTCTCCAAGACAAAGAATCAGTTTACTGCAGCACAGAACACACACATTTCAGGTCCCCTTCACAACTAGGGGATAAAGCACTTCCTACCACTTCTCATATTTAATTAAAACTTCTGTCATGATTCAAAACTCTTACTTCAATTTTATGCCTTTGCTAATTAGCAAGGCACAATGGCAATACTTACCACCACAGCATCTGTCTGTTTGGATTGCAGTACTTCTGCTGTCAACAACCCCACTGATTTGGCTGCAGTGTTTCCTGGGGCATCAAGCCGACTGAATGATGATGATGTACCTTCTTCTAATGCATTAGAATTTTTTTCTTTTTTCTTACACTTCAGCATTTTGGGTTTAGCAGTTTGATTGTCAGGCTAAAGGGTGAAACAATTACATTTTGTGTTATAAAGTGAATCTCTATAGTCTGGTAAGCACTAACAAAGAGACTCCCACAGTCATACTCAAGCTCTACACAACTGGTTTGGTACCACTGATACAGTCAGTCTGAAAAACAGTAAGCTTCGGGGGTATCCATGACTATTACTGCTATCCAGAGGCAGAGGCAAGCTACTGGCTCCCTGCCATTGCCCGCAGGCAGCCCTTTCAAGGGAACTACTATGCTTTGAGGTGGAGTCTTCCACCTATACAAGGAAGGAGCAAGGGAGCAAGTCACCTGTGTTACAACCTGGCTGATTTATTAAGGATCTTTCACCTTTCTTTCCGGTCCTAACGGTGAAGAACAGCGCATACCAGTTTTTAGGTCTGGAGTTCTCTCTCTTCCAGCTGTAATTTTACAGACTTTTTTTCCTGTGATAAATTTCCAACAAATTAATTAACTTTGAGACAAAGACCACGGCTAGTCTCCAAACCTATGTCTCACAGGATGGTTTTCAAAGAGGGATCATTCCAAAGCCACCCATGTAAACAGACTTCCTGCCTTCAATAAAATCCTCATCTCCCTCTCCCCACCAACAGGGCTGCTTTACTCCTCTCCCTTTCCTTGAGGAAACAAGGTTGCTTATTAATCTAATGTCCACCTGGCTGTTTACTGCTAGACACACATACTGTGAGAGCAGAGGAACTGCATAATCACAGCAGCCTTTGCCACTGGCAACTTCTGCTGCTACTACAGTCCAAATTAAGCAGGGGAACATTATGTGGTACCTGGGCCACAGCCAGAATTGCATCAGTCACAGTTCAGAACTGTAGTTACATGAGGGACTCCTAAATAGCATTTGTGAAGCTGCTGTGAAATAAGTTCAAGTAAGGAGCATGACACAAACAGTTTTGTTCCTGGATAAGTTAAATAAGAAATGCTCACTTTCATTGAGCATCACAGGTGATGAAACAGAAAAATGCAGGGTTTGGGTTTTTTGGTTTGGTGTTTGTTTTTTTTTTTGCTTTGTTTTGTTTTTTTCCTTCTCCTAACATGTTAATTAGAACCAAGTCTTATTTACAGGGAAGATTTTAAATTCACACTTTCCTTTCTAGACACAATTGAGCTTAGCCTGTGCCAGGAGGACAAATGACCCAGTGGAAGACTGGTTCTGATATTCTGCCATCATTTAAGTTTGGGTAGGATATTCTGTTGTCTCACAGCTAGTACAACTGCTTCATGTCATATTTTACCTGCCAGAGTAGTTGAAACACTTAATGCTGAAGAACTGTAATTGGAATTTGATGGTCTCTTTCTAGGAGAGGAAGAAAAAAAAAGTGAACAACTATTCTGAATAAATGGTAACATTCAAAAAACCCAATGTATAAGGAAATCATAGGAAAATATAGACTGAGTGAAAAGGGATAAAGTTTATTTTTAAAAATATTGTTACTGAGTTACTTCATCACACTTTACAGTTATTTAATAGTTCATCAAGTCACACAGCTTATTCTGAAGATACTTGCAATTTCAGACCCACAGAAGACATTCACTACAGTAAAGTACTCAGCATTGAAGCATACCAGGACAGAACATATTTAAGGAGTATGCAGTAGAAAATTAGGTTCACAAGAAAACTGAGATTGAATTGTGTAGAGACCTGTAACACTGTAGGATTGGTATAAATGAGTTATGAATGGAAATGTCTGCATGTAAGATTAAACAGCAGCAAAAGGGTTAAAAGAAATTATACTGTTCCTAGAAAAACACTCATGTTACTCAGATTTTTATGTCAGGACCTGAAGGCAGCACTAGGACAAGGCCAACTATAGAAGACCCTTCACTGTGATAAAACCACACCACAGATGACTTGTTAGGATGTCACATTTTCTTGCTAACAACAGGAGGGTGACAATAGGGTCACAGCATATCACATACACCATTCTGCTTCCTCCTAGACATGTATTCCAAATAAGAAAAAACTGACAATGGGCAGCAAGCTGGCCCAAGATTTATGAAGACTGAAGTCAGCAAGATTCTGAAGCAAAAGAGTGCCCCATGTAAGCTGATGATTCCTAAAGAACATAAAATATCTGCTCAAAACCTAATTTTGTCCCGGGCAAGCACAGAACACCAGAGACTTGACCGCAGGTACCCTTCATACTCTGTACTGCAGAGGCAATCCTGGCCAGACTGCCTGGGCACACATATCCTGCTGCCTGTGACTGAATGAAATCCAACAGAGTTAAGTGCAATTGGATAACAGCAACTTATTTAGGGATTTTGTAAATAAACATCACCTTCCTCTTCCACAAAATCCTTCACTGAGTTTTCTTACATTCATTTCCCTACAGCTGCAAGACCAAAACAAAAGTCTGTAAGGCAAACTCTTAAAAGACTTAATGCACCAATTTCAAAGTTAGTGAGGACGCAGGTAGCTGAAACTCAACAGAAGTGTTTGCAGGATCAGAGGCTTATTCATACTAGCCTTTCTTTTAAATATCATTCAAAAGAAAAACCTGAACATTTAGATGCATCAAAGAGTCTGATTTGCAGATTACCTTCTAGTGTTTTGGTCTCGAAAATCCTCCCACACAGGTTCTAAAAAACATAAAAGCTAAACTTTAGAAGCTAAGCAGACCAGACAATATTTTAGTGCACACTAAAGTATAAAGCAAGACATTAGAAGCAAACACAGACCACTAACAGGGAGCTGTTCCCTGTCATGCAGGCATGCCATCATTACATACTTTATACAGGTTCCTTGCACTAGAGTTAAATTTCTTTATGCATATGTTCTGAAGCATTGTAGAAAAGACTTACCTAATATTGCTGAAAGATTTGAGATCTGCGGCATCTTATCTATGGTCACTGCTTTGCTGGAGTCCAGGAGAGTAGAGTTCTTGTACTTGCCAGAGTCCTCAGAGTAAAAATTACTTCTTTCTGGACAAAAAAGATGTAAATGCAAGCTTCTGGCGATGAAATTCATTGAGTTATTAAATTTGTGACTGAACTGAAAGCAATCACATTTGCAAGACAGGAACTTTAAAGCAAAGTGAAAGCATTGTCTTGGCTCAAACAGCTGCAGAAAAGTTTGGGAGGAATTTGGCTCAAAACAGGTTTGTTGGTCATCCCCAATAAACAGCTTGTGTCAACAGGGAATACTTTAAATTTACAGTATGATTCAAATTACACCAGGACCTGATTCACAGTGGATTGCAGGACCAGATATACAGATCCCATGTTAAGCACAGGTTGGCTTATAGCAAAGATCTGACCCGGTGAGTCACACCAAGAGAGGCCACTAGTCTTTCTATTATAGATAGTCCGCCCACATTTTCTACATCAAATAAAGCTCAAAAAAACCCAGAAGTCTCACCTGAGCCATCATCTCTGAATGTTTCAGGGGATGGGCAACTGTTCAGGCTGTCACTAGTACCTGCGTTATAATCTGCAGTTGAATCTACATCTAAACACTCTAGGAGAAAGGTTGAAACACCTGTGGGAAGAGTCATTCCTGTACCTAGAGAAAGAGACAAAAAAGGCAGCTACCAAAATAAAGTATCATCTTGTACAAAGCATCAGGATTTCCTTATCTAAGTCTCATTCCTGTGATGAGCTAAATATTGTCAAGTCGGTATCTTATACCACTTCATAATACAATTAAAGAAACAAATAAACAAAGGGCATCCTGAAGGCCCATTTACACTACTATAAGCTAACAGAAGACACCTTCCATGCCCAAGGCTCACTAGAAATACCTGAAGTATTTAGCCTTTGATAAGGTAATTGTTAGTCAGGTTTGTTTTCAGAAGGACAAACTGTTTAGGCACAAGCATTTAAAAATGCAGATTTGAGTAAACTGAAGAACTCACATCAGCAACTAGTTCTGTCAATGATAAAACCAAGTTCATGTGGTTTTCAACAGGCTGGACTCAAGACTGTCTCAGGTCTTGTAGGTCTCCTATCCTGTTTGTGCTGCTGACAATCAATTCATGTGAACCTAGCCACATGCTGGAATAAGAGGCAGAAGTCTAGCCAGTGGTCTCAAAACCTGTACTTTCTAATGTCACGTGGTCAGAACAAGTACAAGAACAGCACACCAGTGCTTTTATAGAAATACAATTAAAATTATGTAATTAATTTTACATTTAGTTTTATACAGATACAAAAATATATTTACTAATATAATGTATTGCCATCATACTCACTTGAAGTCACTTCAGCATTTTTCAAACTTTCTTTACTTTCAGAGTTGATTATCAGGGATTCCTAAAATCAAATGACCAATACAAACAACCTGAGAAAACTGGATGTAGACAAAGAAATGCAATTAAATGTATTCCTACATTAGTAGATGCTCAGAAACTTACTGTCTGGTACTCTACCACTTAAACTTGCTATTCACAGTGTAATTTGTACCAGGGTGTCTCATGCATCATTAACAAATCTGCGATCTGACTTATAGTTCTAAAATTCATAATGAATACCCAATCATTTGATCCTACAATCTTTGCTGGATGAGACTTCCAATGAAGGCTACTGACATCAACTGAAGTTATGCATAAGATAGCAGCAGAGTAATGAATTTCCTTGGGTTTTTTCCTTTTTTTTTTTTTTTTTAATAGAGGGGCCCAATTCATGCTGCTCACTTTCAGAATCCTAGACAATTTCTATAAATACAAACAATTATGTTGTGTACATAATGTATTCTATGAAACTAAGCATTTGCAGGAAACGTAAATAATTGCTGGACTCTAAATAAGCGCTAACATTTTAAAGAAAAATAGTTTTACACCAATATCACTGGAGTCCTTTGCTATAGCAGATTTCAGTTCAAACACACCTGTTGAACTATTTTCTCACTACTGCAGTATTAACTGTCCTGTAACACTTCTGCTCAGTCATCTCAAAATACTTTGTTCCAGTTTTACTAACATGAGGAAGAGCGCAACAGTGACTTGCCAAAGGTCTGTGTCTGAACTAGAAGTGCGCAATTCTCTGGAATCACACTCTAATGAGATATCTTCCACACAACACAACTGCTATGACCTTTCCTCATTAAGGATAATTAGTATTGATGTTTTCCCATGCTACCAATAGCTCCAACAGCTTTTATTCTGGCCAAAGACACAGGAAAATGTCACCAAAATACAGGACCAAGTTCAGTCTCAAAAATGATCACACACACATAAACATAACTCACAGCAAATTCTACTTGATTAGAAAAAGAATTTAATATGTCACATTTCTTTATCCTCCATAAATTACTAGTAGATAAAGAGCAAGACAGCATTCTCACCTTCAGCAGCACAGTGCTTTCTTCTATTTTCTCTTTTTTTCCAAAGTCTGTTGTTTCTTTGACATTCACTTGATTGCTGCAGTTGAAGAACAGAGCTGAGCTCAATACACAGAGCTACACTGTTCTAGAGGAAGGGGACAAAAACTACAAAATGTCTTCATGAGGTGCCAACAGTCTGACAAGCATCAGTTTACTGATAATTCAGACTGCATATCTCCAAAAGACATCTCATGCAGGCAAAACAATATTAATGATTAGCTAGTGTTAATAACGGTGTATTTGAATGAGTTCTAACAGACCTTCGGCTACATGAATAGCTCACTTCAGTGACTTCAGAATGTTCTTTAATTTTTGGTAGGGTTTTCACACTGGACTTTCTCTTCAGGCCTAGAGAAGAATAAGTAGTTCAGTAGTTTTAGTTTTAATATTAGAATTTAGATGATTATTTCTAATAGGGCACCTTTAGCTGTTTCCCCTCTTCAATGCCCACAACAATTTTTGACCCTACTACCACAAACAGTGTAAAGTCTGAATTTGCTTTATTATTTTTACCCAAGCTTTTTTTCAAGCAGTATATCAGCAAGACAAAAAAAAGAGCAGACTTCAAGAACTACTTCAGGTGTTTCAGAAACCTGCTGATTAAAAGGAAAAAGAAAATACCTTGGAAGTGACCTTTAGGTAGGTTCAAAGCAGTTTGAGTCTAAATCAGTTTTAAATGGAGTTTATGAGGAGTATCATAGGAATTTCTATATAAACTGGTCCTCACTGTATGTAATCCCAAAGGCTATGATGACACAATTACTTAGGAACCTGAAAATTTCAGGGATGTATTTTCTTACTCTAAAACCAATTTTATAAGTTGTTTAGCTTTGTTTTATTTTCAGTGGCCAGGAGCTAGAAACAGCCAAACTTTCTTGAGTTACGCTTTTATGACAGCAAGTTAAAAGAGCATCCATCCCTATGCCAAGAAATGGGTCTGAAGTACCACATTTCCTCAGGACTGCAGAGAGCCCTTTAGCTGAAACTCCCTGGGAGTTCAGGACTGGACAGTGTATGAGCAGGACTCATCCCTTTCCCTCTTTCTTCCAAGCATATATAAGTAGGAAAAGCAAACAGTCCTCAGGGCTGCTAGTTGCACCCAGTTGTGTATGCAAGAGTACTAAACACCTACAAGAGCACAAGTCAGCAGAGCAGGATCAAGACAGAAGCTAATGTTCATCGTACCCTGTAACAGTAAAGTCTTACCTTTAAGTTACCAAGATCAGTGTGGGACCAAGACATCCCACACTGGTCTTCCCCATTTACTTTAGCAAGCCACACTATTAATGTCAGCCTTTACTTGAATCCCATACCTTTTCCTCAGACGGCGTTTTTTTTATTTAAGGTCTCCAATTCTTAACTCTGAGATCTGCTAAACCGCATTCAACAATGAGGCTGTTCCCTTCGAGGCACAACTTTATGCTATTTTTCAAACTATCCTGTCAAAGGCGGGCAAGGGTTTTTCTTGCCATTGCTGAAGGAAATTATTAGATGGGGGGGGGGGACGACACACGACACACCTTACACAAAAGGAAAAACACTTTTTATTACTAACTAACAGCCAAAACAGAGGAAACAGCCCTGTTTCCAGATCAGCTGCCTGCTTTCTCCATGCCATAAGGGACATGGGTAACAAGCCGCTTCCCAAGCTCACACAGGACCACCTCGGCTGGACACAAAGGCTGAGAAACCCAATGCTAGACGGGCTGGGGGGGGGGTCACTGAAGCCACACAAGATTTATCAGACCGCTACTGATAAGAACCTTCCCCGGAGGGTGGCTCAACCTGACCGGCATCCTTACCCGCTCCTCAAATTGCCCTGACAACACCAGTATTGGACAAAGCACAGCACGCAGCCCCCTCCCGCCGCCCGCCTTCGCCCTTGGCCCAGTCGCCTCCCCGCTGGTGCGGCCTCCCGGCCCGGCCCGGTCCCCGCGGTCGTTCCAGCCCAGCACGGCGGGGCCCGCAGAACGCCGCCGGCGGGAAGAAAAGCGCTTACTGCCGGCCTCCGGCCCGCGGGGACCCGCGCTCCCAAAGAGAAGCCGCCGACACGACTGGGAGACGCCGGCCCGCCTGCCGGCTCTGCCCGGGGGAACGGCCGCCCCCGGTAGCGGGGACGAACGGCGTTTCTTCCGCGGTGCCTTCCCGCCCTGGGCAGCGCTCTGCCAGCGGGACGGCTCCATTTCGGACCGCGTCTCCTCAGAGAGGCGGGAGGAGACAAATTAGGGCTGGGCTCCGGCTGCCCTCAGTGGACGACAACCGCCCGCTCCCCGCGGGCAGCGTCCCCTCAAAAACCGCCTCGTCCCCGCCGTTAAACCGGCGCCCAGCCCGCCCCACCCCGCATGCGCGGCGGCACCCACGGCCGCCCGCTAGGCGGCGCCATCACCCC